GCAACAACAACGGTAATTAATCAATCTCAAACAACGTCCTGTTATCAACAGTACAATTGCCGTCAATCAGTACAACACGGAACATTGTGCTTGTTGTTACGCGGGACATTTAAAATAATAAGAGAGATCGGCGATGATCGAACCTCCCAGATCAACATAAATTCAGCATTATTATGTCTTAATTAACAAGCAAAAAGTAAGAATAGAGAGAGTAAGAATAGAGTTTTATATTTCGAGACATTTGACTAACTGCACTGATATAACCACGTTCATAAGCGTTAGAGTAGTCGTTTGCGGCTTCACCGGAGGGTATGATAACTCGCTAAAAAAGCTGACAGGAAAGATGTCATTCTCAACCCAGCACCTTCTTGACAAACTTCTGCTTGACACTCCGAGACGACGGAGACTTTAAACGATTGTTCACTGCTGAACAATAGGACAAGCACATTGCAATAGACACATACCGAGCAGCGTGAATAACCAAAACAAATAAGCAAAACTGTTATAACAACCATGCATCATCAACCAACGGTGCGCTCTATGTAAACCACATATGTAACTATCTCACAATGTAACCACCCTTATAGAAAGCACACAAAGAAGAGATTAAATTCACTCTTTATAATTGATATGAGCTTTCCGTCGATTCATAGACCATTTTCAAGGAAACAATAGCAAAGAAGATAGAATACAATCAAAAAGGAGCAGGAATGCTTCTTGATTTTCGGACCAGAAGATGTCACATGTTCTACGAACAAAAACGTTCTTATTCACATATTTTCTTTATCTCTGCAAAATGAAGTAAGAACCTAATCCTTTTGGATTGTATTTGTTTTTCTTCTCCCTTGTTCCCTTCATATGATTAGATCGAAAGCTCCGATAAATTCTAAACAGTGCATTTAGTTTAAATTCAAAATATGCGCTTTCTAAGAGTTTTCCACCCTTTATTTCCATTTCTATTTAAAAACTCCTCTTCAATCTTATTTACGTCTATCGTTTAAATGAAAATGAAGCTAGTTAAATTGTAGAAAGAGACATTTCAAGTGATGAGAGATTCTTTACTGGTAAACAACAGGACAAGTACATTGACAACGGAAAGATACCTAGCTGCGTGCATAACCGAATGAAATAAGACCCACTGTAATAACAAACGTGCATTCTAAGCTAACGGTGGCGGACTGTAAACGAGATTTGTGTCGGTTACGCGAAAGACATACATTAAGCAGAATCTTTGCAACGAAACGCATAAACAGAACGACCTTACTTCTCTGTTATTGGTCATATAATGGATCACTTTCAAAATTTGAAAGTAAATTCATTTGGATACTCCGAATAAAGCGAAAATGAATGTAGGCCTTCTGTTTGTCTTAGAAATACGCACCACTTGAAGTGTCTCTTTCGATACATTAAGTCATTTCATTTTCGTTATTTATGAAACTTTTAAGTGATTCTTTGATTAAATGAACAATAGAAAACGAAGCCTGCATTATTCTTTTCTTGCCTGCACTCTTCTACGGCTATGCATAAACTATTGAGAGTTAAATTTTCATCAAAAAATATTCGGTCTCTCATCAGAAAATTGGATTTTACCATCAGACCTTGCGAAACAGTTTCCGTGCGGCACTCTCTAGACTAACACTAGAAGTATACATATTTTGAATTTAAACTAAATGCACTGTTTAGAATTTATCGGAGCTTTCGATCTAATCATATGAAGGGAACAAGGGAGAAGAAAAACAAATACAATCCAAAAGGATTAGGTTCTTACTTCATTTTGCAGAGATAAAGAAAATATGTGAATAAGAACGTTTTTGTTCGTAGAACATGTGACATCTTCTGGTCCGAAAATCAAGAAGCATTCCTGCTCCTTTTTGATTGTATTCTATCTTCTTTGCTATTGTTTCCTTGAAAATGGTCTATGAATCGACGGAAAGCTCGTATCAATCATAAACAGTGAATTTAGTTTAAATTCATAATATGTATTATGGAACCGTTTGACAGAAATTCAAGCGAATGAAGCCTTACAGTGTTAGACTTCATGTAGTAGGATGTGCATGTGAAAAACTTTCTGTAATTTGTCTGAATCTATTCATCTATCAAAAATGAGCACAGACGTACATGCAAAGAAACACGAGGAGACAGCTACATGTCAAGGTGTCAAAAGCGGATCTTTTTTCGCCTTTTCTGAAATTCGTTTTTTTGAAATTATGTTACGAGATGGAATGAATGTTGTAACTTTTTTTCTGATTCAGCATTCAAAGCTGAATTAGAAAACTGACTTAGAAAATTTCGAAAAACAATGTAATAAAGAAAGAGTTTGTTTATAGAATGAAATATGACAACTATAATAAAAACCTATGCATACACAACGGTCGAAACAAATATTTCGCGTATAACTCATAAATGGTTAAAAATTCAGTAACCGCTTTTTCGAGCATGTAGTCCGAAAATGAATGATATTAATTTTCAGATGTCAGTAAGCAATGCAACAACAACCTGTGGAAGAATACCATATGGTTATCATGGTTTGAACTGCGATAATGTTTGATATTTACACGAATCATATGCATATAAAAATAGTGGCTATTGGAAAGCATTTCGACATAGGCATTACATTGTGTTTAATGAAGGTGGACGACCAATGTCAATATCTTTTCCACCACAAGCCACATTTAATATTTTTACATTTTACAATTACCATGGAGTGCCAGAAAGCGATCGAAATTCCTTGACATGGCCGTGTGACGAACATAGACAAGGTCGGTCTTGTCTTAATCTATGCTGATACTCACTAGTCGACCTCATCATCCTAAGCGAGTCTATTTCTATTTTGTATTTTAATCGGAACGTTTGCAGATTCGAACTTGTAAACTTGTATTTCGTAACTCATCACATTAACTATTAGGCGCGATGCTGCATTCAATATGAATGAACTACTTAAGTCTGTCGAAATAGACATTTATGATTATTAACGCGTTATTATTTACTCTAAAAAGCTATACTTGGTTTTCAGTAAGTAAGGAGGAATATAGGAGAACTGCGTTTTTCGACAGAAAATTGGGTACATACCGACTTTTTTCGATCTTAGAATATCATATTTTCAGCTGAGAGTCAGATTGGTGTGCCCTGCACCAAAGAACTCAGGTCTACTTTTATTTCCAGTTTATCCAGTTACACTTCGTAACAGTGGTCCTAATTGGTTGAACTATTTTTTAATAATAGTGCTTTATACAACTTCACTATCCAGGTAATTAAATATACAATTTTTATATATATATTTTTTTCCTTTTGCAAGGTTTCAAAGCTTCTCACTCCATTAGCGGGCAAGTTTATTCGTAAAATGATAAAAACCCGATTATGTAAATACAATATGGACGACTCGTGTCCTTACCTTTATTTGATCGATCACTTTTACTTCGTTTTCAGCACACAAGCGTTTTAAAAGAGATTTCATTGATTGCCCAAGTATGCAGAATATCTCTTTGATTTCCCTATTTCGCTCATGCTTTTCAAATGTCTATATGTTTGGTTCATCGAAGCTCATAGTATGTTTTAGTGGTCGAACATGCTTGGCTAAACTTGAATGCAGGTCTCCTTCCTTCAGATTATGATTATACAGTCGTGCGTAAATCAGAGGTTAGGTGTACAAATGCACTGTTGCACATCTACAAATGAAGTAAGTAGCTGGTACGATCGACTCTCAAACAAAAGCACAATTAATCAAAGACTTCTGTGCGTTTTATCTGTATTGCGTATAAATCTGTATTTGTAGGATATGTGAAATGCATAGTGTGTTAAATTATTAGTATTTTTCGTCACGAAAGGATTACGGATTCTGTGAATATAGTGCAGAAGGACTACGAGAGTTGATACAGATCTTCAGCATGCTTTTCCATTCGTTCTTCCGCATTTCATCCGCTTTGACCGATATAGAATTTGTTACAGCCTTTACACATATAGGCATAGACGATCCTGACTTTTCTGAAACTCTCTCATTTCATCTGTTCACGAAAATCTGGTCCAACTGTTCAACAATTTCTGAATATTATTCGTGTTTCATATTTGCATTTCGTAAAATTCTTGCCTATTTTCTACAATCGGACTATGAATGAGATAACAACAAACGGTCTGGAAGTAGTCATTTAGATGTAGGAAAAATGAGAGAAGAAGGCGCACTCTTACTTCATCAAATACAACTTGGATAAAGAGATATTTGTGCAAAATAGCTGTGGAAAAGAAAAAAATTCACAAAATTATGATTATACAGTCGTGCATAAAAGAAGCATCAGAGATTAGCTGTACAAATGCACTGTTGCACATCTACAAATGAAGTAAGTAGCCGGTACGATCGACTCTCAAACAAGCACAACTAATCAAAGATTTCTGTGCGTTTTTATGAATTGTTTCTAAGATAAAAAGAACGACAGTTGCAAAGCACCAAAGCTTAGTAGATCGCAAGGACAACAGGGGTTTTGTCTCTATTTTTCGAAATTGTGGTCTGTTATTGATATAAGAACTTTATTCTACCAGAATACAGGCAGAGAAATATTCCATTATAGTATTCTAAACTAAAACTATCGGAAAACACAAAACTAATTCTAGTCTATTATTATATCCATAGGACATTGCAACAGATATAGGAGTATATTATCACAACAAAGTGGTAATGAACTATGCCATTGTGAGCTAGGGCGATTCAAGTACAGTATCAAATATTTCTCAAGTGAACATAAAAAAGAAATCCAGTACCTGGTTCTTGAATTAAATGAACTCCAGTCCATTTCGAAAACGAAGTCTGAGTCCCATGGTTTTTTTTTGTGTACACCTGTAATTTATTCTCGAAAGAAAAAAGGCCAGCGAGCGAACTCATTATAAGCCGATAATAATTCAACTACATTGGTAGAAAAACAAAATAAAAGTAAAAAATAAGAAAAAATAGAACATAAACAGAAAAAGGAAAGTTAATACAATACAAAGAAAGCAGGACTAAATCAAGAAGTTTATCTTTCACGCTGTTCAGCTAAAATCGACGCGAAAGCATTTGACAAATCTCTTGTTAATGCATGATTATCAATTGTTGCTATATCTTGTGTAGTACTTGAACGTTGTGCTGGTGCTTGTTGTTGTATATTAAATCTTGTTAGATCTAAGAAGCGTTGAGCATGACTTAAATCTTTACAATGTATATTTTTTTTACATGAACAAGATAGAACAATAAGTAATACCAGTAGTAATACGATGATGAACAAATCCATTATTGAATAGGCCAGTTTTAATGTTTGATGATGTTTATCAATATTCTTTATATGACTGTCAAATGGTTCTTTATGTTTATCCATAATGCGCATATGATTATCAATATGCTCTTTATGATATAATAATATCGTTAATCATCAATTTGGTATCTTCAAAATGTTGTTTACTGGATTGAATGAGCTTCTCACTGATAACATAATGAGCGGTAATTGTGTTACTGGCCGTTCAATTTCTATGGGCTGATACTTTGAACCTTCAACAATAAAAGATAATAGCAAAAAGCAAACAATAAGTGGCGAACACCATTGTACAAAAGAAAATGAGATAAATTTAAATAATCGCTAACATTATATACACATCGATATAACAACAAAAAATAACAGTATAACAATAAGGGTGTAAGGGTGGGTGTCAAGAATTAAAAGAATTAGAAGAGGTGAGCATGCTGCTGATACTATTTATTTTGATCGTATAAAACGCTGTGTTTTTTCAATATAAATACTGACCTCATTAAGAATTTGCTGTGCACTTCCATCAATAGTTCTAGCATTTAACAATAAAACATTCACACTAATATTTGTCAAAAAGTTCAAGTTATGTCAGTAAGTCAGTACGTTCAGACCGGTACAGCGTGTATTTGAGGAGATAGTGCTCTACATTTTCTACACCTTGAGAACAAGTGCAGTCAGGGCTATCAACACATTTATGTTTATATAAATAATAATTCAAAGGTGGAAAACCTGCCTTCATACGCATATAATAAATTTCTGCACTTCTGCTTGGAAAAACTAATTATTTAGGAAACATGGGTCTAACTAGAATTTCCTTTTTTAGTACCATTTTTCCAACTTTTAATGTTGGAAAATTACGTGGGTCTAAAACCAGCGCATTCCAATCATAAGCAACTTTAGAAAAAAAATCTTTTATCATAGGATCTATAGATTGAACAGTTGTTCTGTTATTACTCCGCAAAGAATAGTTCGAATTAAATGGTCGATAATTCAAATACTCGATTATATAGATAGGGTAAAAACCTTTTATAATTTTAGCAAAAAACAAAAGACGTAAAATTTTAAAATGAGAACGAAGAGGTATCCAGCCAAGCAATTCGAAACACTTTTCTTTCAAGCTTCCTCGCATTGCTCCCAATGCCACCCGCGAAGCATCATATTGTATCGATTCCAATTTATTCAAGTTTGCATCAGTCGTCAAGGAATAAATTATAGCAGCATAATTTAAGGCGGATAAAACGCATGATTTAAATATAATATCAAAGATATTCCTAACTAGTAAACGTTGATGAAATTTCATGAGACTAACAATCGAAGAAGCTTTAGAAACAATCCTGGTAACATTAGAATTCCATGAAAGATCATACGAAAGTATCAAGCCCAAATATTTAACCTCGTCACGTTCTTGTATGGGTAAACCATACAGCAAAAGAGGTGGTGGTGTTAGAACAGTTTTACGATGATATCGTGTAGAAAAAGTTATAGATTCACATTTTTTTGGATTCAAAATGAACCACTTTTCTGACCAGCCCTGAATTGTAACTAAATCTTTATTTAAATTGTTACTGTATATTACAGAATTGGAATGATGGTTAAAAAGTATCATGTCATCAGCAAATAGTTTAATCGAACTATCAATTCCAATGGGTAGATCATCAATATAAACAAGAAATAGCAACGGTCCCAAAACTGACCCTTGTGGGACACCTTTAGTTACATATCTCTTACTAGAATTATGCCCATCAAGAACAGTTTGTATACTTCGATTCAAAAGATAATCTTCAATCCACTTTAGTGCTTTGCCTTTTATTCCTTTTTGATATAATTTAAAAAGCAAACATTCATAATTAACATTGTCAAAGGCCTTCTGAAAATATAGTGGCCCAGCTCGAACAAACTTGTTTTCTTTTAAACCACCATTAATTTTATGCACAACTTCAAGCAGTAAATTAGTTGTACTATCCTATGCGATAAAACCAGACTGAAATACTGATAAAAGTCTATTTTTAACCAAATGAAAGTACAATTGTCTATGCACCAAACGTTCAGGAATTTTAGTAAAGGCTTGTAGCAATGTTATTGGACGATAATTAGATGGATCTAGTTTATCTCCACGTTTATGTAGTGGATTAACAATGCTATTCTTCCAATGTGCAGGAAATATAGATGACTCAAATGATTCAGGTATCAATTTCGTTAAGGGTTCAACTACTGAGGGAATCATATTTTTTAGCATTCGATTACTCAAAGGTGGCGCACAAGCACGACTAACGAGGGAACTGCCCCAAGTGTCCGCTCGCTTTTTTGTTGAAATCTAGTGGAGAATAGGTTATCGACTATGCTGATTCCGAATATGACAATGGTTTTTGCTGCTAGGCCTTCGAAGACCTGGTT